AGATGCAGTAACCATAATCAATGCAAAACTAAATAAGGTTAATCATTGTTGATTCAAATAAGGCTAAAATTTCCAGGAAATTAAATGATGAATTAAGTGGGTCATTTCACTGCTAGACCTGGAAAAACTAATTTTAACATAAATTATTCCACTATCTTAATTATTCTTTCTCTTTGTATGGGATTTTTTATCAATTAATTATTCCATCAATGTTTCTCAGTTCAAGCAGAATTTTGTATAAAGCTATTTCACAGCTCAGGCTGTTCACTTGTACTCTGATTTCTGACTCAATCTTTGCGTTAGATTTCATACATTTCTGATGCTCTGGTCTTAACCTGAACTGATGAAAGCTTCTAGCATGTACCTTCACATTTATAAATGTAGGAAGATTTCTTTTGGACCGTATTAATTTACACCTTAAGAAGAACAGAGTTATCACTGTTCAGTAGATTTCTTGGGAAAGGGTCCTGAATATTTGCTATCTTATCATTAAACTTATTTCAACATTTTAAGACCAAAATGGATTAAGACAATCCAACAGCCTCACTTTCATAATAAAGACCATAAAAATATCGTCCTCTGATTTCTGCACTGAGATGATTGGTGTATTAATTCCTCACTATTTTTTTTCATGGCCTCTAGATTTATTATATTAATACAATAGTGGCACTACACATGAAAAGTCACATTTCCATGTTTGCGGAAAAAATTACTCCATTGGTAGTGCATACATAGTCCATTTACTTCTGTTTTCTTGCTTCATTCTAGCTCCAAAATAAAATATGCACACCATATGAAGTAGTGGCAGAGATTAATGACACTTTGCAAAAACAAATTACACGATGAGTCATCTAATTTCTTTAGGTATTTGAATTTGTCAAGTACAGAACATGAAGACATTGATCCAGCTAAGCAATTTACCCAGGGTTCATCTACCTCTTGCACTGGGCCTTGATGAAGACACGTTTAAAGAAACTCTAAGCAAGCTGGTGCCAAGATTGTGGGAAGTATAACAGGCACCGACACTGCTGTCAGCAGCTGGCTGCTACACTTACCCAGTGACAACACCATATTTTAGATGGCTAGGTTACCTGGGACCCTCAAGTCAGTCCTTGTGCCACATTTTCTTGTGTTCTGCAGGGATATCGGGTCTAGTAGTGGGATCTCTAGCACAGTTCCCTTATGCTAGAATCATCAAGTAGGCAGTCCAGCAGATTTCAGAAAGACAGTTTGCAGTTGTGAAGAGCAGTCTGTTGTTATGTATTTGCTTGAATTGGAGACTAAACCAAGAATGCTGCCATAAAGCTAATGAATAGCAGGTGCCAGTTAACTAGAGATCTTTTGAAAGGAAAACCTGCAAACTGAAAAAGATACCATATGACTGCAGATAGGCTAAGGGGATTTTAAACTCGATGGCTGCATATAAGGTGAGTAATCAAAGACATCAGACTTATTCTTTTTCATCCATCACTGGTTTTCTGTTTCCTGCAGGATGAATCCATTTTAAAATTAGTCTGTTTCTTCAGTGCAGAGCAAAGTGTTCCTGTAGGAGGCACTAGCAGTGCTTATCACTAACTTCTACTAAAGTACATGGTTACTCAAGGAAGAAGTTCTCAGTTGACCTGCAACACTACTAGACTGCAGCAGTAGACTGGTGAAGGACTAAAACTGAAAAGAAAACCATTGCAACTGCTTTTTCTGGAATACAAGCTATACAACAGTGGTAGAGGCTCACTGACAGCTAACCAGCAATAGGCCTAATAACCCCAACAAACTGGGAGTCAAATGTGCCTTAGTAGACAAGAGATTTTTAAGTGATTTCTACTCTATACAAGAAAAATAATTACTGTGGAATAAAAATCACTTCCATTGGGATTTGTGGTTTTACCAAGGTATTTGCATTACAAATAATGTTTTTAGACCACCATCATCCTTTCTAAATCCTTGAAATACAGTCTAAGCACGCTGTCCTAGAACTATTCAGCCCCACACTACAGGGCAAAACTGAAAGAAGGTGAATGTAAACATTCAAAATACAGTATCTGGCAGGAATTCCAGTGGTAAAATTATTAAGTTTAAGAATCAATAGTTTGTAAAGTTGAACTACGCTGGTCACTTCAAGCTAGAGGTCCTGTCTCTGCCTTACGAAGTCTCCCTGTTTGAAATGTATTTTAAATGAAAGCAGATATTACATTGAAAGTACAGTTAAATTAAAACATCCATAGAAAAATACAGAAACCCCTCAAGTACAACTTCTAAGGTGTGCATCCCTTGTGGCCTGGCTTATTAGAAAAGGAATGCCAGTCTAATGAAACCTTCCCTTACCTAAGAGCTAAGACAATTGCTAACATCCAAGTCAGTAACAACAAATATGACACCCTTAAGCCTTGAAATCCTATAAACTGTGACTGTTTCAGTTAATTAATAAAGAAAATGGTTTGTATTTGCTTTGTTTTCAAAGGACAGTCTCAATCAGTAAAAGCATTTCAGAGGAGTAAGGATGCATTAGTAAGAGAGATTACTAGCGTGCAAAGTGCTCTCAGTTTTAAAAAGCCTCCAGACACTTTCTTGTCCTGCAAGTCAGTGTCCCACTCCCTATCCTTAATATATATTTTAGCAATGTATAGCAGGTCGATAATGCTAAGACAACAGAGGTGGAGGCAGAAATCTGGAATGGTTTTTTGGACATACAGGTTGATATTTTAAGGGTCTGGGGTCTACATATTCATGGGGGGGGGCTGTAAAACAGGAGGTTTTACAAGGATGAGGTAAGGGAAAAACCCAAGTTACACCTTTTGGGTTTAGCACTTACATCATGGGGAAAAAACACTTATTTTAGGATTACATTTTTGGGGATTTACCTGGGGGAGAGATATCCAATGTTTACAGACTACATAGGATACCCAGTGAGGGGGAAAACAACAATGGATTTTATGCAGAGGCTTGATAACATCACAGCACAATGTCTCTGTATCTTGGTAGGACATTACAAACAGGTGACATCCTGTCTGGTCCTCAAATGCAGGTTTTTTCCCCAGCCTTTGTAGCCCAAGGTTTCTGTTTAAACCCAGCAGTTTCTTTTTCTGGTATCCGAATTTTCAGACTCCAACAGCAATGTATTTATTTATTTAGTCAAGCTTCAGAGATCATAGCTGTTGCTTCAGAGTTTTTCACATTGCAAAAAATTCCAGACCTGCTACAAAGATGCCACTCAGAGGCAACAAGCCATAGCTGAAAAACGAGAAGAAAAATAAAAAGCCAAGTGCTACTTAACCGCAAAGGTACGAAACCAGTATTTTAGAGCTCTACTTTCAAGAATACCTTGTCTTTATCTCCCTACCTTTACCCTCAGGACAATGGTATGCTTCTGCAAGCTTTCTTGCAGCAACAGTTTGAAATTTCATTCACTAGTGTTTGCTAAATACTTTGAGGCTCTCAGAAGGGAGATGCTGCTGAATTCTAAATATCTGTTTAATTAGCTCTGATCAGAAGTTATTTTACCCAGTCAAGCTGAAAGATCAAAAATATAATTGAAAAATAAACTGCAGAACAAAACAAAACAAAAATCAATTTGGAGATTGTTTAATGCCTTCCTGTTTCTCTGTGGAGAAGGCTTAGTGTATCTCTTCTTAAGTGCACGACTGCCAGGGCCCCATGGACACCCCCTTCCAGGGCTGGAGTGTGTATGAGGGGGAGCTGCTGCAGGCAGTAGTGACTTAGGACAAGGTCCGGGAGCCACCTCTGCAAGGCCTCTTCTTTATTACCTCTGTTAATTCGCCACGGATTTCCTTCATTATTGTTAGCCACATCCATGTCATTAGATGCTTTTATTTTTTCACAGCACTAACAATTCTGGCACTTCACTGGCCATTATTTATTCAGCAAAGTTTTAAAGGATGTGTAATTCCAGGTGCCCAGCCTCCCTGTATCTTCACTCTGGTTCTTTCCTGAGAATTAAACCTTTCATTATTCAGCCCAGTAATTTCTGACCCTCTTTATAAATTCAGTACAGTCTGCTGACTGACATTTTCAACAAAAGGTCATCTGAAATACACACAGTGTTCCTTGTATTGCCTGCCTTCCCCTCTAAAGGTCCACCAGAGCTAATGTTGAATTTGTCATCTATTTACTCATTACATTGTGCAACAGGCCTTTGATCCCCCACTTGTCTGTATGCCAGGGCTGTCTCCCATGTGGTAGATCTAGGGTGGCTTTCCTCTTTTCCATTCCCTCCTAATTAAGCTGGACATATTTTCAATATCCCCCACTCTAAATAAGAGTCCAGTCTATTGCTTAAAATGCCACAGCTAGGTTCATTTATTAATTGCACATGACAAGCATCAGGCATGTGGCCAACAAAACAAAGTAGCTGCATGAGGAGCTGTGAGCCCAAATTCACCGGTCCCTTGTTGTACCTAAAGTCCTTGCACCTTTCAATTTTCTGGAAGCTGAGAACCTCTTCTTTGGGCAACAGAGACACCGAGGGCCATAGACTGTAGATGCAATCTTACACATTAGTTCTGTCAAAATTAGCCAAAAAGATGCTTCTCCATTTGTTTCACCAAAGGAAATGGTGAAACACTTTCTAGAGTATAACTAACCCAGCAGGCTACATACCAAATACAAGTGAATTTTTAACTCACAAAGTTTTCCTCCAGATTCAGAGTTGGTCGTGCCAGTGTCCCTTTTCATAGTGAAAATCTGAATATTTAGAGTTTCACTGCGAGATGAAAAACGTGGATTTCATTCAAGGACTTACTTCCTACCTCTTCATTTTTTATGCACTTTATGCAGGGACATGAACTGTCATTGGAACTGCACTTGAAATTTAAGTGATTCATCTCTTTTCTCTGCCATTTGAAAGGAGGGCTTTTTAAGCACCTGCTTTTCAAACTGTGAGCACCAAGCAGGACACTTAAGCTCAGAAGAAGTCAAAGGTTTAACCCACTTTTTCCAAGTGAGTTAAGCAGGTTCTATATGACCTGATTTTACAGAGCCCCCCAGCCAGACCACTGGATCCGGAAGGCCCACTGAGGAAAGCTGGTGAGTTGTTGGATTAAGGAACATGAGAAATAAATGTATATCTTGACATTCTGATTTAAACTAATGTTTAAAACATTGTTATTTTCCTTTCTGAAGAGGAAGAAGCTTGAGACGTACCACACCCTGAGTTCCTACTATATATCTTTGTGGGGAGAAGATGTCTGACAAAGCACTCCAGTGGAATGGGATTCAATCATACCTGGTGAGGGTCTTGCACACAGACTTTGACCCAAGTTTCCAGCACCCACTGACTCTATTCCTCTGAAACTGAATTTGGTACAAGTGTGTCTACCAGGACATTTTTTAATGCAGCCTGGTCCTCACAGTAGGAAAAGGCAATTCATTTTCATGCTCTGTAAGAGTCAAGTGTGAACTTAACAAATATTTAAAATGCTTGTTTGTCCAAGTTCCACCACTTATCTACCACTCCGTGAGCAGAGAGTAGGAATCTACTCTCCTTGTTGTAGTCAGATCTCTTCATGTTTTCTGGCAAAAACGTTTGGGAAAGAGTTACTTTTGGTTTCAGTGAAGTGTCTTTGAGTTGAGGTCAATGTTGGCACTACTAATAATGATATTGCTATAGATTTAAAACAAAATTAAAGTATATTTCCTAGTATTCTTTCAATGGATGAATATCCTGGACAGATTCCCCTGACTTAAAAGCCACAAGAAACCTGGGAGAAATAAATAATAGTAAGGTCTGTGTAAGGCTCTCCCAGCCTTATGAAGTGTGGGGAAATAGAAGTTCAGGGACTTATGTCCAGACCCAAATTGTGTGCAAAGCTTTCCAGAAAGCAGTTCAGAGCAAACCTATGACAAAGAAAAGGCAAAAGACAAAGATAATAGGCATTCCTAGGGTCATATTTTCAGGGTAGGTGAAGCAGGCACAAAGTTTCTGTGAAAAATACGAAAACCAGTGAAAAACCTAATTCACAGGCAACTCTGCTTACTGCCTGCCAAAACTAACTGTGCCTTGCTAAAAACTGGCAAACTAGGGAGAAAAATTAATGTCATTTTTTTTTGTGGGTTTCTGTTTTGGTTTGTTGCTGTTAATTAAGGCATTAATCCAATGGGGCGTTAAAAAAGTTCTTTTGATGCCTTTGAAAATCATCTGGACCCAGCGTACACAACTCATCATTCCATTTCTCATCTTGCTTTAATCAGGTGTAAAACCAGCCTAATTGAAAGGATTGGAGTGATGAATCACCATCTGGAGGTAGCTGCACAAATGATATTCTCAAAGAAATTATGAGCTTCTAGGAGAGGTTTGTATCTGAACTTGGGGTCCCTGATCCTCAGCCACCCGGGAGCACAGCTGGGACACACTAAAAGGCCCTTCTACCCTCAGTGGCCAGGCTTTCATCTCATCAGAGGTAGGGAAATGAAAGCTGTGTCCAGCAGATGAGTTCTGCTACAGAGCTGGGGCACAGCCAAGGCAGGTATTTGCACCTAGAAACACAGAAGGACTCCTCAGTAATGGGTTTTTTTGCATATATTTTATGTGCCCTTACCATTGAAAATTAAAGCCTATTTAGAGAACAGAGAGTATTTGTTCCTATAAGCATTTTAGGGATCTTGAAATTTTCCACATTATGGAGCATGTTGTACTAAATGAAAGTGTATTGTTACACACTACCTAGAGAACAAAACAGACAGCATTGTCTGGCACTGTAGAAATGTAGTTTTCATCTAGATCTGGATTATCGTTTGCTTCTCTGCCTCCCCCCCGCCTTGCCCTCCCTCAGGCCAAAAAGAATATAGTAGATCTAGGAAAACAATGTAACAACAACATTATATGAAGATACCAGTAGAAATTAAATAGGCTAGGATCCTTCGCTGGAAAAAAAACCTTTATAGAGGAATATAGGTGAGTAGGATAATGAATGGAACAGGGAAAGTGAATGGGGACTAGTTATTTCTTTTCTTTATGACATAAGGACTGTAGGGCACTGAAGAAAACTTCCAGGCAGATATTTCATAATGGAAAAAAATAATTTTTCCACTCAAACTGTCTAACCTTGGAAACAAGATATTGCAGATTAAAATAAAGAGATACGAAAGTGATTGGATAAATTCATATAAGACACATTCATTGAGAGCCCAATTATAAAGCTGTAAATATAACCTCCTGCCCAATACCCTAAACCATGGCTTGCTGGAAGCTCTACTAGCATTCCAGAGGGTTACCAGACATGTATCCAGACTTTTCATTTTGTCCATAAAAAGCTGTTCTTTATTTTGATGAAGACCCTCCACTCTCAGTATTCAGCACAGCTAGTCATGCATTTTTAGGACTTTTTAGGCAAGCAGCTCAAAAAAAAAAAATGTTGTAGGAATAATGCTTAAGGACCACAAGAATTTAACTAATTTACTAGATCTTTAGTGTGACAGGTGCTAAGGGAACTCTGTTCTGTCGCACTGATTTGCTGTAATTTTCAAAAGCTTGAGATGTAAAAAGTACTTGAGGTTTTTTCCTTCTTATTCAGATTTAAACTGTTGCTAGTTTGTTCACAGGTAGTGGAAATACCTGAGAAACACACTGCAGGTTAGAAAGTAGTGTAACAAATAACGGAATGACAAGGAGCAGGGAGGTTAGAGAAAAAGAAACTGTACATTCACACATACATTTCGTCTGTTGATGTCATCTGTGATTGTACTTTATATTTGCAAGTAAGAACTTATGGAGGCATGTATGTAAGTATAAACACACACACACACATCTCTCAGATTCTCCTTTTCTGTCCTGTATGAAACAAGTGGAATCCAAGATACACACAGCTCAGGTTGTAACAGATGATAAGATTAGAAAAGGAGGGAGAACGTCTCACCTGGAGATAACCTAGCACAGGGACTTATGCAGGCAGCTCCACCACAGCCTGCATGACTTTCCGTCCCTCATGTGGGGATCCTCATTTCCACATCTATGTTCTCATGTCTTCTTTACCCACTCTGTCTAACTGTGCTTGCACTCCAACGCAGCTGAAGACTGGGACCATCCATTGCAATTCCTGAACGCAGCAGTGGTCACCACGAGTTGGTCTTCTGTGCAAGAAGCTGATGAGAAGTAGAAGTATTCACAGCAAGATAGGCAGGAGAATCCCCAACAAGGCTTTGCTGTAAAACCAAGTCCTTGAAGATTTCAGAGAGCAGACTGTGTGGGGGAGTTTTTTTCCCAAAGATTACAAATCTTTTTTGCCTTCTTAAAGTTTTTGTGTGCAGGAAGTTCCTGTGGTTTCTGCACTTGTTTGCTCAGGACTCACAAAAAACGCAACTCAAGTCTCCAGACAGACACTCAGAGAAGGTTTTCTAAAAGGAAAAGCCTAGGCAGTGGGAATGAAAGTACAACCCACTCTCAAAAGGATTCCACACTGTGTTAGTCTGTACCACTGGACACTGGTTGCACACTGGGTGCAGGCCTGTGTTGGTCTGTACCATAACACTGGTTACACACTGGGTGTAGGCTGTAGAGCTGAAAGCAATCATCCCTCCCAGTCCAAACCCAGAGGAAGTAGGACTCAGCAATTAGAGTCCTTTGTGACAGATTTGTACCCATTTGGGAAGCAGGATCTTAAAGTCCCAGATCATAAACAACTTCTTTGCTCCATTCAGTTATGACTGTTTTGTTTTAGAGATGTTAAGGCTCTTGAAAAACTGGTATTTCCAGGTACTTTATTGAGGCCTTGGCCTGGAGAAAAGATTCAGATTTTTTCTATTAATATTCCTGCTGATACTAACCTGCTTAAAATACAGGTGACTTTGTGGAAGTCCCACCTGCAACAGAAGTGAGATCCAAATAATTGCTTATCAAAAGCTTTTAAATACACAAGACAAAAACAGTGAAATGTTCTGTCATCAAAGTAACACTGGGCAATATAAACTGGTTTGGGAGCTCTGGGACAGAAATAGTGTGATTTGATGTTTTTTTTCCAATTACTAAAGCTAAACCATAAATGACCAGTTGTATAAGCAAGAGTAGTGTTGTTAATTGCAGGGACATGGTGCAATGATAGCCTAACAACTAATTTTTTCATGACTGTCCCTTGACAGCAAATTTCCTAATTACCCAATGCTTGCTTGCCCCAGTCTATCAGAATACTTAGTGTTTCTAGTCTCTGAGAGAAGTGAGAGCACGCTAAATATTCCTTTTATTCCGCAGCTAAACAGGAGAAAGAAACAAAGCATGTCATGGTCTTCCAGAGATATGTATTTTATATGCATTCCTATAGTTGCAACAGCCTTTTTTGCAGGAACTGTTCTAATCTGTTCTGCAAATACTTTCTTTTCACCTTTAAGCTGTTTCAGCTTCCCATCCCTAAAGTTTATAATGAAGATGTGATGCTGACACCCAGAGGAACATAGGTATGAATGTAAATACATTGTATTAGTCTGTAACTCTCGTTCAGAATGTGTTTCTTAAAAAGACATCCGTTTAAATTGAGACATGAAAGTCTGTAATGCAATATTCCCTCTGTGAATAATCCATAAGGTAGCAGACGCGTTACAATGAGTAACTAGTAACAGTGGGTTTTCCAGCAATCCAGTTTAATAGTTTCTTCATATGTCTGTGTTTATACATCAAACAAACTTCAAACAAAACAAAACAAAAAAACTAATATACAATTCAAGAAAACACCCAAAGCTTTTACACTTTTGGCTTCCCCTTTGTCGTTTTGCAATTATGTACAAGACTGTCTTATTTGCAATACCTGGTGAGGATTTAATGATTTATTTACATCAGCTGGTGCCTTTCACTATGCAATGGAGCTATCTCCTTTTGCCATTTACATTCCTAGTTGCAAGAGCCCACATTTTGGTGCTATTTATGGATGGGGTTAAGAGATGGACTGAAACAAGACAAGATTCTCACTACTGACCACAAACATATCTCTGAAATCCCATTTTCAGATGTAGCTGAAGGAAGATTCCAGAACCTAGTGCACTGATATAACCATTATATCAGTCAGCACCATAAGATATCTTCACTGAGAATAACATTCCCACTCATGTTAGAGTGAGATAAGTGTGAGCTGGAGGAATAATATCTTTTAAGGTGCAGCAGACAAAACGTATAACTCTAGTGCTAAAACTACAACTTAGTTCTCCTGTCAGAGACCTCCAAAGCAAATGAAAACACAAGTGTTCTATCTTTTTAAATGTTTGGAGGAGAATATCTTACAATTTTTCTTAAACAAAAGATAAAATTAGGAGAGAAAAATTATCATTTTATCATAATATGCAAACTGTTTCATAGAAACACCAAATAACTTGGTTTGGAAGGGACCTATAGAGGTAATCTATTCCTAATCATGCAAAGCAGGGCCAACTTCAAAGTCAATCACCTTTCAACTTCGACCAGATTGTTCAGGGCTCTGTCCAGTCAAGTTTTGAATATCTTTAAGGATGGAGTTTGCACAACAACTGGACGTCTGTTCCTATGTTTGACCACCCTTATCGTAAAAAAATTTCCTATAACTGAATCAGGACTTTCACCTTGAAGGTATAACCTAACACCCATGGAATAAATCATATTCCTTCTGTTGAGAACAAGAGTTTTACTGCATCTGTAAACCAAGTATAACAAGCATTATTCTTTCAGATTTCAGAAGGAATAGCTGATTTTTCCATTTTTTTCTGATATCTAGTTAGTGGGTTGTCACCACTTGAAATATTTTCATAGCTTAAATCACAGTGCAAGATATGCACCATCCATGCTCATCAAGAAATCAATGCCATACTTCCACTTCCTTCATCTGTGATAAATCCAACATTTTGTACATTACACAGCTGTTGCAGAACAGTACGTTTATGAAAGCATGACTAGATGCAAATTACTCACACAAAAGGCATGAGAGTTTCAGCCTGGAATCCTCTCAACAAAGACAAAATCTGTTTGTTTTGGGGAGCAGAAGTCAGGACTCTTTGTAATAGCAACACGCGCCTGAGGTTTTGAAATCCCTCTTTTGCCATTGCCTGCTATGGTTTTTGATTATCAAACTTGTTTTTTCTCTCCCAGCTTGAAATATACAATCTACAGAACAACTTCCTCCAGTAACAGAGGCTCCTCACAGCCAAAAGGTTTTTCTGATGTCTGTTCAAAGGCAGGCACTCACCCAAGTTTTTCGATCTTCACAAAACATTACATGACTATCTAGAGTCATGTACCCTTTACTTCTCTAGCCCTGGTGAATAAAGAAAACAGACAAACTCAAATCAGCTCAGTCTTCATATTCAGCCTTAAAATCCACCTAAGATACATCACACATCAGTGTGATTAAAACACAGATAGTCATATATGACAAAGTACTGTATCCAACCTGGAAAATCTCAGGGTAACACAGGCCTCTTACATAATACACATTTTATGACAGTAACAGTCATGACTGGAATACAAGACTGCTGATATGTGCATGTATATTGGCCATAATTGTTGACCAAGGTATATGAAGCTTGATAATTGGAGCTACTTCTCTGATTTTATATCTTTAGATATAAATAGCAAAAAAAAAAAAAAAAGAAAAAAAGAAAAAACACCACCTGGTGATTCTGGACATCAAAATAAGCCAGGCTTATTTTTACCTAGAGAGACAATTTTTTTTTTCCTAGAGAGAAAGATAATATTAAAAGAAACACATATTGAAAGGATGATGGGTTCATTCACATGACAGGTCTCACTCATTGCATTTAGCAGAAAGAAAAGTATGGCTTTCCCTGTATAATCCCCTAAAAAAACCCAGCCTTTGGTAGAGTAAATGAGATTCAAAATATTCTTTTCCCCATTATACAGACACACTGAGTAGCTCCTACCATCAGCATGACAGAGGTGTGTGGAGGGAAAGAAATGTAAAATCACATGTTAAAAAATAGGTTCTGATTGCTGCAGAAATCATCACAGTTGAACAGAGAAACTATGTTCCATAGGCATTTCAGCAGAGTTATAAGATGTGGCAAGATGTTGCATTTCTATTCTCTTTCTTGGTTTGGTTTTGCTTTCTCAATACTTGTCTGATAAACCACAGATCATTCTCAGGCTATAGCAACAAATTATCTCTTTGAAGGTCTTCCTCATTTCCTGGCTACGAAAGGCATAGATCAAGGGATCGATCACTGAATTGCACATAATGAGGATGAGGTACATATTGAAGTGAGACATGAAGCAAACACAGTAGAGGTTTTGAGGGCAGGAGATCATCAGGATGAGATGAAGGAAGAATGGAGCCCAGCAAACAATGAAGATGCCAAGAAGCATAGTCAGAGTGATGGCTCCTTTCATGCTGGTTCTTTGACGGACAGAGTTGTACCCAGGTAAAGCAGCAATTTTCTTCACATGAGTACGAGCCAGGAGGAACATATGGATGTACAGTGAGACCATGAGGAACAACATGGTAAAAAACATAGTGATTAGACAAATGACCACATAAGTTGATTCATAATAAAGAATGAAGATAATGCCACAGCCTGTGCAAAAAGTCCAGATGCATGCAATAATAAGCCCTGATCTTTTCGCTGTCATGATGTTGTGATAACGCAGGGCATAGAAGATAGTGATGTATCTGTCTACTGCTATAGCCAGCAAACTGCACATGGAAGCCACCACAGATATGCAAATCATTGAATCAAAGACATTGTCTATATGACGGACAAAGGCATCTTCCATAATGATGTGTCTATTGTTTATTAAGTATATCGTTATGGTCTCCCAAGCATTAGACACACTAACCAGCATGTCAGCCACTGCTAAACTGCAAACAAAAAAATACATTGGTGAATGCAAGTTCTTGTTCTTAACTATTGCACATATAACTAAGATGTTTTCAAGCAGGCTTACGATGCCCAGAGTTAGGAACACCTCAGCTGCAATGACCACTTGCTCACATGGCGATGACTTGCTCTTGACAGTAGGCCCAGTAAAGTTGCTATCAAAGGCACTCAAGTTTAGTTCAGAAACATACAATTGAGAGGACGTGTTCATGTCTGGAAGCTAACAGATTCTATTCCTTCTGAGGGGCTTGCCAAGGAGTGTGATAAATGCATTTTCCAAAAGATAAAAGATCCTGCCAAAAAAAAAAAATATATTACGATGAGTACAGGCAGAAGTTGACAAAATAAATATCACCTGTTTTTATTTAATTTGGCTCATGCATGTCCTGCCACTTCAACACCGTATTCCTCTACTGATTCTAAATTAACCTTTGGTCAGCTCAGAGATTTTCTACCCATCCTTACTGGGAAATTAAAACGACAAACTAATGAAGAGATTCACCCACCCTTCATTTATTCTTTTGTTTATTCTATTTGGTCCCCTGGAATAATCCCCCAGATTTTCCTGGAAATTCTGCTGAAAAAACAAACAAGCAGTTTTCACAGTCCTGACTCTCAGACTCCAGAAATGTAGGAGAATGTAGTATTAGGTCCAGCAGAAACCGCTCACTTGAATACAATATATAGAAGTTTTGATCATTGTCACAATTAAGAATTGAATATTTTCAGTTATATAATTAAATGCTTTCCTGACCTTTGTACTTTTAAGTTTGCATGAACTGTGCTATAAACAGTTTATCTGTGCAATACTACTATGTTCATTTAAAAGCTTTAATGGTATTAAACACCTAACCAAGGCAAATCCATACATTTCAGGATACACTAAGGTTACAGAATTAGTGTGGGTAGAAGTCGTTGTAGCATAAGTTTTCTATTCCAGATCATTAATATTTTATTCAATTTTTTTTTGTAATGACAATATTTAGGACAAGTTGTAAGCCATTCTATTCTTAATAAGGGGAACACTTAAAGTTGTTTGTCAGTGACTTGTTGCAAATAAAATTCAAAGCATATAATGCTAAACGATTTTCAGTTTTTAAAGTAGCTTTTTATTTGCAGTGAAGAATTAACTGTACCTATTTATCAGAGCTGCTCCTTCAGCTGCTCTTCCTCTTCATCGCCTGCAACCTTTCCTCCAGAGAGCTGAAGTTTCAGCCCCCCTCCTCTCCCAACATCTGGGGCTGGGGATTCCTTGGTGGGAATAGATGGGGAAAAAAAATAGAGGGAAAGGAATGAGCAAATCCATAGAGTCAAAGCTGATCGCGTATAAATTACTTACTGTGCAACTGCCTTTTTATAGACTCCAAGCAATAATGACTTCAGTACTCAAACTGTGGCTCCTCCTCCCCTTCTTTGCCCCTCTGGACTTCTCTTTCCACAGATCTCGTAGCAAAGGATTGGTTTTTTACCACCATCTAGTGGTCTTCTCCTGTCTTTCTAACTGAACGGTGATTCTGATCTGAAATTCATTATGACCATTCGATAATATTAAAGGGGGAGATGTACTAGGCATGCTCCTTTCCAAAGCCATAGAGTTGTTTCTTTTTTTATTTTTTGGGGGTTTTTTTGCTGTTGCTAGTACACTACCAATAAGTTCATGCTGCAATAGTGTTCCAAAAGGAGTGAGAACAGAAGACTCTTATTGAAGTGGGAGGTTTATTACTGTTGTAAGCATTTGTACTATATTCAGTTTTGGGTTTTTTCAGAAATAAGAACCGACTGTTACAAATCTCAGGGAACATGCAGTCAAACCCATTATGCCAATAGAAGATATATTCAAATAATTTGCATGGGCCTTAACCAAAAGGTGGTAAAATCAGTGCAAGTCTTTAACAAATCGTCCCTGCTTCTGTGTGTAGACTGGTGAATGCAAAGCACACAGTTTCCTGACACTGCCAAATGCTCTCCATGTTAGTTACTAACCAGCTAGTCAAATGCCATTCAGTATACAAAGTCTCTGCATCTCCAAATCACCACTTTTCCACAGATTAGTGGGTTGAGTTTTTTTCGCGGTGTATAACAGTTTCAAACGCTCACTTTTAGCCTATAATATTTTTTTAAAAGAGTCACCACCACCAAACACTAATTTTACTGCTATATTCTGTGCCATTTTGTTTTCAGTGTTCAGCTAAAGTTTATGTATTGAAACCATTGTATGAAATATTCTTATATACAAATAGTCCCTGCAGCAAAGGTGACAGTGAAAAGCATCTTTATTATTTTGAGTAAAATGTCTCCTCGAGCATTATGCAGTTATAGTCAGGAGATGAAATTTGCCTATCCCTTCTCCCCAGTACGGGAAAGAGAATTTAGATTATCACAAACGAGAGGTAGTAAACTATGCTCAAGTGCAGCTGTTCAGTCTGAGTGGATGCCAGCTAGCCAACACACACACTCACTGCTGTATCTCACCTGTGGGCCAATTCTGAGCTCATAGCTCTTTGCTGTGCCCAAAAGAAAAGTATAGAGAAGGGTCACCTGCAGTTCTCTTCCTGTTCTTTAATGGAAAGCATTTTTTTTGTTATCTTTGGTTATCTTTTGCATAGCTTTTGATTTTCCCATTTCAGACCTTGGAAATTAGATACCTAATGGTAAAATTTTACTTCTTTTGGTGTTCTTATATCTAGAAAGAACTGTGCAGACGTTGTGCTCTTTCCACTTCCAATTACGTCTCTTGCAGCAAATTGCTTTGTTATTGATGTTGTTTATTATTTTATTTATTCTATTCTTTCCATTTACAAATTTCTCTGTATGTTCAGTTTAACAGAGCTCTTGGCAACCAGCTTAGCTGCCTTTACCAAAGTTCTCAATGTACCTGGTAGAACTTGGTAGACCAACCAATTACAAGAAATAAATCACACATCAAACTGGATGGTTTGGCTGTTATTCCTTAGAGCAATGCCAAGATTCTCATATAAAAATTATGAATCAGCCTTTGGATTCTTGTTCCACAAGCCAGACACTGCAGGCATAAATCTTGGTACAAGTGTCTATGCTATGCAAAGAAACTCCCTTGTTTACAAAGCTTGCAGAAAAATTGCCTGCCTGCAAAATGGGTAGTGGTACAGATGAATTTTTTTTATGTTAGATGATAAAATGGAAAAATACTTCCCTCCGCCACCCCACCCCAAAAAAAAGAATTTTGTCATTATATTGCTGCAGTAAACAGCTATAAATGTTATGGCTCGACAAGCAAATAACAAAAGGGACATGAAGTAGCAGTGGGTGGAGGCATGCAGGTGAGTTATGAGGATTTTAAGTAAAGGGGTACAGGAGCAGATCTTTGGATCCCCTTGGGAAGAATCCAAGAATGCCTTCACCTTCCAGCTGGAGGACTCCTGAATGAATAGGCTTGTCTTTCAGATGTTCATGACTTTAGTGTTCAGCTCCCTTGACTGTTCAGTTAAATAAATTCTCTAACTCTGCCAACAAGTTGGCACTCAGTGTCTTCCAAGGTCACAAAGGTCATGTCTGGACTGTCAGTGAGAGCAAATGGTAATGTATTCATCACAAAGCCTTAACTGGTATTTAGCTATAGGCTGTACCAACACAGCACAGGACCTGACCTGGGCACCCTGAGGAATACACTGAAGCTCCTGTTCTGTTCTCAGTCCACCATTTTCTTTTCACAGATGCAAAGAGAAAGAGAGGTTGAATGGGGGCCTTGGGGTACAGGTTCACAGGTCTCCCTGCAGCACAGAAACAAGGACAACTGGACATACGTCAAGGAGCCTGGATCTGGAGCCACTGACAGTGCTACTGAGGTCCATGGTCATTCCAAAAGGGACACTAAAATGTATCCTTAGGAAGAGGTCTTTTTTATATACTTCATGTAACATCTTACATGGTGTAAGGAAAAAATTAAATGCTAGAATCCCCTGTTTCACTGAACTCAACAAGAAATTTCTTTGGGTTCCAGGAAAAGAGATAGGAAGTGTTACATAAAGACATCAGTGAACAGAAGAAAGAAGTGAAATAGGGTTTCAGCAGAGAAAGAGATGCCAGGGCCTGTTTCTGTTCAATGCCATTTTTTTCAATTGTGAAGTGGTGAGAGAGAGCAGAAGCCGCTTCAGATACATATCTGCCTCTTAGGCTTCAAAAGTAGCCATAACAATGCCCCTGGCAGAAAGAGCCAGCCCCTGCCTGCCATCAGCACCACCGGCAATCATGCCAGATCTCCCCTTCATCCAGCACATCCACTGGAACTACCCTGACATGTAGGTCAAGTTACACCATGTCAAAACCAGCAGGGAATTGCATGCAATTCACAACAGCAAGATACTGATTTTATCAATAAATATATAAATGGGGCTAACAGCAGAACCTGCATGTGCCCCCAAAGACATTTCTGTAAGAAGAGCTAGTTACGCTCAGATGCATTCGGGTATTAATCTGTTCTAATCTTAACAGGTTCAGAGATGAGTGTTAGTGATGTTAATACAAATCTACCAAACTTGTCCAGTGCTACTACATTCAAGCAATTCAATTCCAGTGTCCTTCTGAAGCTATTTTTATCTACTGGATGAAAATACATTTGTTCTTCGTAACATTTCTTTGGATTGGTGCTCTTGGCCTGTTTATGAAATCCTTCTTCTCTCTACTTCTTGCCTATGCTGTCATTAGCATATTTCACGGCCACAGAGATCTCTTGCAGACTGCTGCAAGAGATAAGGCATGGATCACCAAAAGGGAAGATCATGGCCTTTTGAATCACATAACAAATGTTCTCTAATTTCTCAGACTGAGAAAATTATTTCTTTTGACCTCTGTGCTGAGTAGCCTTGTCTGAGCCTCATCAAGGTCCCCACTATTACCTCACCAGCATTACCAGCCAGTTAGCCTTTAATAAAGACAGGCAATTAATTGAAATTAAAAAAAAAAAAGGCATCATTACTTCTTGTCCTTAAATAAAGAAACCTGGATGAGGTGGTGGTAAACTGTAGTTCAGTCCCCTTGCTTTTCAAGGGAACAGCTGGAAACCTAAAAGTTAGGCTTTGCAGTAAATTGTGGCATAGTGAACACTTTCTTTTACATCACGGTCATAATCTTCAAATCAACATTTGATTTTTTTTTTTCAAAAAGAAAAGCAAGACTGTGAAAAGACATCAAAATATCACACAAGCTGTGCCCTGTTAAAGGGTAGGATCAGCCATACTTAGTATGACTGCACTACACTAACACTTTTGTTTATCAACCCTTTCATCTGAGCCTTCAAAATGGTCTGAGATCATCTCTTGTCACTCTCAGTACCTATTTGTGGTGCTCCTTGCATTACAGTAGAAAGTTGAGAAAGAGTATAAGGCAGTTAAGAAAGACATATCTTAATAACCTTAACTGGATGATGCTGTAAATAGCCTCCTAAACTGTAAAAGAGTAATAAGAGGTGTAGTAACCATCATTTTTATGTGTCTCTAATTAGAGTCAATTCCAGTAATGAATCATCCCCTAGAATTTTATTAGAGGGTGGGTCAGAAGTACAGACCTGGTAAATCACATAAAATTGCCAGCTGCAGACTACACAAAGCACTGATGACCAGCAGAAGATTGTGGAAACTTTCTGACAGAAAAGAAGAGTAATTCAATAATCTACAAATAGACTGGGGTAAAGAAAAAAAGCAAACAAACCATTTAGCAGGTTCTTACTAGATACTTTTTTCTGGGAAGACTGGCTGACACCCTAGAGTGCTGTGAAACCCTTTAGAAGGACCTCAATAGTTTGGAGAGATGGGTAGAGAAGAACTGTCCCAAATTTATTGAAGGCAGATGCAGGATCCTGCATGCGAGGAAGAATAACCCCATGCACCAGGACAGGCTGGGGGCTGACCTTCTAGGAATCAGCTCTGCAGAGAAGGACCTGGAAGTCCTGGTGAACATCAGCTGTCCATGAGCCAGCAGTGTGCCCTTGTAGCCAAGAAGGCCAATGGGATCTTGGGGTACATTAGGAGGAGCAATGGCAGCAGGTCGAGGGAGCTGATCCCTCCATTCTAGTCAGCCCTGGTGTGTAGGTCTGGAGTGCTGAGTCCACTTCTGGGGTCCTCAGTACAAGACAGATGTGGAGCTCCTGGAGCAGGTCCAGCAGAGGGTTACCCAGATGTTTAAGGGACTGGAGCATCTCTCTCATGAGGAAAGGCTGAGGGAGCTGGGCCTGTTCAGCCTCAAGAAGAGACGAGGGGACCTCATCAATGCGTGTAAGTGTCTGAAGGGATAATGTCAACAGGATGGAGCCTGGTTATTTTCTGTGTTTCCAAGCAATGGGAAAAGAGGCAACAGACAGAAACTGGTGTACAGGAAGTTCTACCCAAATATGAGGAAGAATTTCTTTCCTATGCAAGTGACTGAGTGCTGGAAC